CCCTCCCCCCCAAGTCGGCAGTAGCCATATTTCATGACACTGCCAGCTGTCTTCGGAGCCAATCAAGCATATTTAGCTGTCCTCGTCTCACACACGCGCACACACACACGCGCACGCACACACGCACACACGCGCCCACAAATACCCCCTCCACCCCCCTCCCAAAGCAATTATTACTCCCCATTTTTTTTACTGTGCCTCGCCATGGGGAAAATGAAGCGCGGTACTTATCAGTTCAATGCATACACAAGTGACTGGGACGGAGGGCGAGGAGGAGGCGCGCGCGGCACGCTCGCCGGCGCCATTTAAGGCGCAAAAAAAAAAAATGGCGAGCACTGGCTGCCATTAGCTGCGCGCCATCCGAACATTTAGGGGCAGCCGGCGGAGCGGCGGCGGCGGGAGATACAGAGATAACCGTAAACATGTCACGAAAAATGCATTGTTATTTGCATTCATCGCGGGAGGAGGCAAATTGATGCGGGGTCAGACAGGGAAGGTGAGGGTTTATGACCTGTGTAGAGCGCCGCTGTCTACAGCGCTGATCTATCGGGCCGGCCAGCCTTGTCAGGCTTTACGCCTGATTATATTATCATGGCTGACAAGCAATGCGAGAGAAAAATCGTGCCCACGCGCAAACGGGAAACCAACAGTGGAGGCCTTTGTTCTGCGGAAAAACAAAAAAAAAGCCACAATTCCTCCAAGAGGTTCGGTTGCAGTTCGGAACGTTTTGGAGGCTACTGTACTCTTTCTTTCCCGAGTGATAGGCACATATCACATTTTCTTACCAACGCGCACAGTCACGCTTTTTCTTATGATTATTATTATTAATAAACCGGGCTTGAAGCCTCCTGCTGATGGCTGCCATTTCTTATCACGCCGCCTCAAGAAAGCACTTTTGGAGGCGGCGAAAATGGAAGGCGTAAATGTTCAAATGACTTAAAGCTGCCGACGAAGGTCTGTGCAGATATGTCGAAAATAGAAAAGAAAAGTGCGGAAAAGTCCATCATTCTAAATGTGCCATTTGCACATTCGCCCCACTGTTGCTGCCTCCGCTAACCTGAGCCAGCTTGATGAACATACATGCTTCATCTTGGTTTTTTTTTTTTTTTTTTTGAGTAGCTGCTGCGTTGAGAGAGAGAAGGGGAGGGCGGATCACAAAAGCACAGCGGGAAAGGAAGACAGAGGGGGACGCGAGGGGCTAAGAAAAGACGAATGCAGAGCCACGAGACATTTGTGCTTCCATGCGCCTGCTCCCAACTGTTCCCAGTGTAGCAGACATGGGCCACAGCACAAACAGATGGCAAGGAAGTGTGTGTGTGTGTGTGTGTGTGTGTGTGTGTGTGTGTGTGTGTGTGTGTGTGTGTGTGTGTGTGTGTGTGTGCGTGCGCGCGCGCGCGCGCGTGATGTGGAAAACACTGCAGATGCATCAACTCTGCATCCCAATAGATAGATGTATTAGTGTATTTTATCAGAGCGTCATTGAAAAGTTAATTTCGGTGGTGGCAATGGTAAAGCTGGTTGATTCTCTACTGCTTGACTGCCATCTAGTGGATGGGTTGGGATTTAGCTCTACAGCATTATTACAAAAAAAAAAAGACTTGGCATGAATATATTCTACCGCGCTTTCAATTATTTTGTGTTTGAGTGCTGAAGTGCAGGGAAGTCGATCTGAAGTTGTGGATCGAATAATTTTATGGTGACTTTAGTGTTATTTAAAATGCCAAATTTAGTAGGAGTGATTGCAAAAACAAAAAAAAAAATGTGTAAAGTAGAAAGTCATTGTTCAGACTGCATGTTTCAACTTTTTTTTAAATTAATGGCATTAATTAAAAGGGCTGTGCAGGGATCGACTGGTTAGCATGTCGGCCTCACAGTGCAGAGGTGTAGGGTTCAATTCCGGCACTGGCCTTCCTGTGTGGAGTTTCCTCCCACATTTCAAAAACACGCATGGCAGATTAAATGTTCTAAACTGTAATAAATGTTGTGTTTTGTTTTTAAAAAAAAAGTGTTTGAAAAACATATTTTTAATTCTTACATTTTTTTAATTGATTTAGATTTTTTTTCATGAAACATTCATGAATCATAATTTTCAACTATGTCATTCTGAAAACAGCATTTTTATATTTAATTTCAAACAGTGAAGTTTAAACTTGTTCCATGTGCCTTTTCTTTCAGAGGGCTTCATGAACAAAGGGCGCCATCTGGTGGCTGTCCTGATTTAAAGCCCGCATGCTGGACGGAGGATCGTGTGTGGGGTGGGGGCAAATTTCATGACTTGGAGAGCGAGCTGCAGCATTTCATGTCATGTGACCATCCTCGTCATGGATTCAATCGTCACCTCGCTGCTCACCCCCGAGTAGTTTCCATTCAGATCAGTTTTTCTTAATTCCGTTGCACGTTGGAAAAATAACAAGCTGCTTCGGAGCGTTGACGCTGCGCTCTGCTGATTTACGTGATTAATTTATGCAAATGAGGCATACTGGTACAGGGGAAGGACATCACCAGATTGGGTATTGCCTAATAAAGCGGATTCCAATGCGAGGGCTGTAAATTACACAACCGTCATGTTCAAGTGTCCAATATTATGTTCAAATGATAACTTCTATGCAAATTATAATTTATTCATATTTCATCTTATGAAGTCAGACAATGAAACGTGATCATTTCAATGTTGGCTGAGGCATTAAAAAAAAAAAAAAAAAAAAAAAAACTGAAAACAAAATGATACCCAAAAGGGAGCAATGCAGTATATCAAATGAGAATATTTGATTTCATACATTTGAATGTTTTTATCATTTTTAATGTCATCGTATTTTATTATTTTTAATTGTTTCATTTGGTAGTTTAGTTTTTTATTGATATATAGATATATATCTATTTTTTATTTATTTTGTAATTATATGCATAGATATAATTTTTTAGAAACCGAACGAGGGAAAATCATTGATCTTTTTTATGCCTTCTGAAATGTAAAAGAATAAATATTTTTTTCATGTAACAATTGTAACATTTAAACATGTTTAAGTTCATATCAAGAAGAAATATTCTATTTTTTCTGAAGCAAGGAAGATCATAGCACAAACACATTAATGCTTTTCCGAGTTTGTAAGATGGGAGTTCTATTGTATACTGCACAGTGTACTGGGAAGTGTTTCTCATTTTCTGGTTAACGATGTTAATTTTATTTTGTCTTCTTGAATGCTTCAAAAAGAAAAAACAAATCATTGTAATTGCAATTGTTTGACTGAGGGGATGCTGTGTGTCTAAGAAAGTGGGCCTGCTTACCGTAAAATGAGGCTGGGGTCATGCAGATGCCGACATGCTGTCCCGATGCCGTGGGTGTACCTTGCTGACCCACCGGTGAAACCAGCACGCCCGGCTGAACGGAGTGGCTGAACCAGGAAAACACAATGGCAACGAGTATGTTAATTCTAATAGATGGGATACAGGAAAAGCACAGTCATCAGTCACCGTGTTGAAAATTTAGATTCATAATCTAAATAAAAATAAAATAAACAGGCAGACATCTTATTTGGATGAATATTACATTAAACAAAGTAGAAAAAAAAACCAGTTTGAAAAATCAATTCCAATCAAAAAGATAAATTGAATCAAATATAATAATACACTTCATTGCAAATATTAGAATAAATTCCCCAAATACAATCAAATCCAAATAAAATAAGGACGAAAAACACCCCACGTAAATCAAGAATAAATTCCACAATAAAATAAAACTAAATAAATGGTTGGCATTCAGTTGTTTGAAACTACAAATGCAGTAAACGCTCATTTCCACCAGAGGTCGCTGCAGCATCAGTTATGCACTGTATCCAAATCTGTTGTACGTACAGTCCAGGGATTTTATGATCAGTTCAAGAGCCAGGAAACAAAATATTCATATAAAATAATTAAATATACTCAACTGTATATAAAAAAATTGACAAAATGTCATTTGAATCTCTCTCTCTCTCTCTCTCTCTCTCTCTCTCTCTCTCTCTGTATATATATATATATTTGGGAGGAAATATCTTACCTATTAAGAATAAGAGTTGCTATTGCTGCCTCAGACCAGAATGAAGATGAGCAAAACTCCTCTGAATTTCCCTGCAGAAACACAAACAGATGAGTTCAAAGGTCAATGCATCCACTTTGTTTTTGCCATTCGTGTCAGTCGTAATTTGAAAAACATGATTTGGTGTGATTTTGGTCGGCCCCCACCGCCGGCCACATGTGGCAAATTAGTCATCAGCTGCCACCCAACCTGCCTTCTTCCCATGCCAAGTGTTGGTTCCAAGCCCATCCGGCAGGTGCGGCGGCGTTTGCTTTCTTTGTGCGAGCGAGCGAGCTGCTCCAACATCACAGCCCGCTTTTGAGTTTGACACCATTGTGTCGAAAAAGTCTGCGCTCAGCTCGTCAGGCTCAAACAAGGCAGCTCCAAATGAACACAAGCGGAAGAGCGGCGCTTCTGTTCCGGCTCGGTCCCGTCTGCCTGGCATCACTAGAATATTCATTATGTTCAACATGAATTGTGCAAATTCCACAGAAGGACTGGGTTGGGTCGGCGAGTTTATATTTTGAGGCCCGAGTATGCCATTCTCGTACCAAATGAATCACTTGCGGCAAAAACTTAAAAAAAAGAAACCACGAACAGTTGGCCAATTTGGTTTGAAGCGGTCATTTTAAGTTTACCAAATTGATGCCTTTTATTCATCACTAATGACAAATAGAGCTTCAGTATACAGCTGTGCCTTGAGATAAGAGTTTAATTGTAAGGTGACCATGCTCATTACTATAAATAAATAGATAGATAGATAGATAGATAGATAGATAGATAGATAGATAGATAGATAGATAGATAGATAGATAGATAGATAGATAAAAAACATATCTCCAGTGCTCTTTTTCCATTGAAATGAATGGAATTGCCATTAATCCGTTCCAGCCTCACTCCCAAAAAATTGCAATGTCCATTTTAATGACGGACAATAGAACCTCGTAAGACGGCAGATGAACTTTAATGACTTGCCATAAATCAGACAAAGGCGAAAAACACATCTCCATCAGGTTGATGTGATTCAGGTGCCACCCTGAAGTGATTAAAAAGGCAAAAGTGTCAAAAAGTGACGGTATTGCTTCCATCCTTACCCGGATGTGCAGGATAAGCTTGCAAAGTGGAAGGATGGCACGAGAGACGTGGAGGGTAATGGCCTGATGGAGATGGAGACGCAGCGAGGGAGGTTGTGAAGAGGGGAAAGCGCATTAAGGCTAAAGTGAAAACGAGGAGCTCCGTGTGCCACTTTCAGGAAATTCGACACCTCCTTTTCCCCTCTGTCTCTTTAGCACCACCACCACCCCTGGCTCCCTCCCGCCGGAAAATATGATCTTAAATATACAACCTCTCCTGCCACCGTATCTCCTCACATTACGATGGCGGCTTTAAAAGCTTTTGTTGGATCGATTTTGAACTGTTTGCACCGATCGGATAAAAGGATGGATCAAGCTCCGAGTGGTGATAAATGTGCACTCTTTCAATGACGAAGAGTCGAAATAAACATCATACTTTCAAGCAAGGGTCATTTAGGATCACGCATTTAGGACTGCTGCATCTGATTGCCACTTACTTGGGCAAACACCTGAGTACGAATTTGTCAGTCAAATACGGGCCTGCAATTCTCACAAAACAGATGGCGCATTGCGTTGCAGTACAAAAATGCACGACTGCCACAGACGTTGCATTGACCTGAAAAATAAAAGTTTATCTGGTCTCTTATTTCATGAACTACAACCGGGGTTCTGAACGTTTTTGAGCTTTGGGCCCAACTTTTCCTGTCTCAAGTGGCCCGGGACCCACTCACATCTGATTTCAGCTGACTGTATCTGACAACATCAAATAACTGTATTTTCCGCACTATAAGGCGCGCCTAAAAGCATTCCATTTTCTCAAAATCCGACAGTGCACCTTATATATGAAATCAAAATTCAGATTTCTTGGACGTAGTATTTTAAATGTTTTGTAAAGCACCGGGTTACAGCTGCAGCGTTTGTGAAAGTGCCATATAAATAAAGCTTGATTGTATTGTATTCTCTTTAGCATAGCTCCATCTAGTGGATTAGGATTGTATTTTCTTTAGGGTAGCTCTATCTAGTGGATGTGTAATGGAACCGTAGCCACGATTGTTGCTTCTATCCTATGTGCCTTATAACGCGGTGCACCCTGTATATGAAAACAGTTTTCGGCCATTCACTGAAGGTGCGCCTTTTACTCCGAAGCAACTTATAGTGCGGAAAATACGGTAAATAATCTCACGCAATGTGATCATCACAAAGACATAAACTTTGACACCCAATAAGATGCCAAACAGGCAAAGAATTCCTGAAATAAATGAAGCTTAGAATGTCAAGTGAAGTTTATGACCACAAAAATAACGAACAATTCGATTTTAGCAAAAAGGATCCAAAAGGTTTTGGCTTTTGGTGATGTTTGTCATGACCTTTGCGTTTTTTGTTGTTGTTGTTGTTGTTTTGTTCTTTTAAAAGCATATCCATGATTTTCGTTGTTGGCTTTCTTCTTCAACTTTGTGTAGTAAATAAGTGACTGATTCGTTATCCCCACCTAGTGGCAGAAAACTGTATTGTAACTGAGCTTCTAATGTGCTGTATTGGTCCTCTGGTTAAGAATGGACTAGGAAATTGTTTTTTAATTCTGTCTACCCCAAGATCTGCAGCTTCGCCTGCCCCGTGTGATGTAATTATCATTATACTCGCCAAACGGTGATGTCGCAACTCATTTACATTGATGATTCTGTTTCTGGGCTCTGAGTGTGCATAAAGGCACATCGGGTGCGATTCCCGAGCTACGCAACTAGTCGGTGCTACCGTTCCGCCAAAGCCCAACATTCCCTTTGTCGTAGGCTGACCCATTTTTCCCTCCCTCACCTGTGCCTCCTTCCTCAACCTCGCTGCCTTGCATTGTTAATTAGAAACGGGCATGAGAGCGTTAAGTGGGGGTGCTCCCATACGACTGGGTCATCTTCCCAGGTTGTTTGCTGAGTGGGCAGCGGGAGGGAGGAACGAGGGGCATTCGAGGAGCATGGGAGAAAACGTGGAGCACTTCAAAAAGCGCCGCAAACAACGGGGAGGGGGAACGTTGGAATTGGTCAGGTTGGGGCGGCGTTGACGAGCGGCTGTCTGGAGTCTCGGGACCGGCGTGCCGAGCATTTCCGCACGCGCTCGCCATCCATCTTGCCCGTTTCATTTTCACTTCTCAGGCCAGAGGAGCGCCGGAGCCGTCTCCGAGGAGTCCGGTTAATAATGTGAGACAGAGTGGATTTAATTAAACAAAGGCGAGAAAGGTAATCACGGAAAGGAGCGTTATATTGCAAGTCCAGTTTTCACGGGATTGTGTACGGCCGTTTTGTGGGATTAAACAAACACATCAGACAGAATGTGTATGTCGTCGGTCTCAGGCAGAATACGGCCATCTTGCATGAGTTACAAAACACTGGATCACTCGGGTTAATATTTCACACCTTATGTTGCTTTAATATGCCAAAATCTGGAAACACAAACTACAAGGATATTTAAATAATGTAAGTAAAGTAAAGAAGTGGATGTGATGCCAGGAATGGAGCCGCTTATCCCACTTTTGTCAAGATTTTTCATTTTTTTCCAAGCGAAAGAGGAAGAAAACCTGACAGCGAGGCCAAATAAATTTCCCCGCTGCCTTTATGGTTCTGTTACACACGAGAGTGCACATTGAGCTGTCACCGGCAAATAAGAACAAATATCCTGCCGTCACAGTGGGATCGGAAAGGTGGAACAACATGACAAATGTCTCCAGGTGAAGGATCAAACTTTTGGATGAGAAACAACATTGCTGGATTGAACAGAATGTTTGTGGCTTGGGTTTGCGGTGCATCGCACTGAATGTCAGACATTCCGTTATTTCATCCCTACAATACCGGTATTAAGATAGCATTCAGTTTATTAGCATTCATGCTAATGCCTCTTATTCCGTTCCCAATCACGTGTAAATGGGCAATAAACTCAACACTTCACATCGAGTTTAAATGGAATTATACTTTTTTTTTTCTTTTTTAAATACTTCTTTAGCCTTTGCCTTGTGATTTGGCATTTCTTCACGAATGACAGGAATGGAGAGGGTGCGTGCATGCAGATAAACATTAAGTTTGTGATTTTTTTTTGTTTTTGTGCCAGATCTAATTTCTAGATTATTAATCTTTTTAATTCATTAATTTTTTTATTCCTGCCAGTGGTGATAATTTGCAGAGGGCACATGTCGGGGGGGATTAAATTGCTTCTAATTTTATCACTGTTTCACTTCATGCAGGTGATGTCACCTTTTTTCCGGCATCTCGCCTTTCTTTTAGTGTTCCCGGCGTCCGTTCCCCGCTTCCTAAACTCCTTCAAACGGAACCAGCACATTCTGACGAAATACATAAATAATCACGATAAGATCAAACGTGCGGCTCAGTTGTTGCTACGGCAACCCCCAAAGAGCTAAATGTAGGTAAAAATAATACCACTGATAAAATAATACTACTGATCAATCAACCATGATATCAATACAGAACAAATGAAGAGTATAAAGATTTGACAGAGGCAGTGGCCACATTTTATAGCAACAAATACGTAATAATTGGACCCAAAATGATAGCTTCAGCATCGATGTAATGGTATTCCATGTGAGAAGCAACTCAAGGAATTCTGGATCATCTTTGGGGACCAGCCAGGTTCCACTCGGCTGAGAATTTTGAATTATTGACAGACAATGTCAAAGTGATATCAGAATCAGATTGAATGGCCAAGTATATGCAAGAAAGACACAAGGAATTTACTTCCCAGTTCCAAACCGTTCAGAAGAACATAAGACAGCAACTACCAATATGGGGTGGGGGACAAAACGAGAAGCCTGGCAGGTCGCTGTTCCAAAAACGTCGACACAGGTATGTGTGTAAATATGCCACAACCTATAAACCCAGACAAGCATTTCATATTCACTTGACAAAATTACTCTTACAAATAATTGCTTAAGACTTTGAAAGCTATTCACAGTCGAGTTGTATCATTTAAAAAAAAAAATT